CGCCTTCACCGCCAAAGCGGTGTGGGCGGATTTTGATAGCATAGAGAAGGCTGACATGGTAAGTTATGTACCTGAAGTTCAAAACTTTACGGCCCCCCGCCCCCTCCCCTACAGAACAATATGTTGATAGTATATGGTAGTATAAAGAAGATTGACATGGCAAGTTATATCAAGCGACGTTCCAACATTTTAGGCCCCCCTTCCCCTACACAACAATATTTTGATAGCATAGAGAAGGCTGACATGGTCAGTTATGTTACTTGAGGTTTCAAAAGTTCACGACCGCCCTCCCCCTACAAGACGATTTGCCGATAGTAAAAGGATGGTTGACGTAACAAGTTATGTTACTGGAGGGTCATTTTTTGCCACACGCGAACTAGGAGCCACGCCTTGGAAACCTTATCCCTAGGCACCATTGAAACGTTAGAAACCATGAAAAAACGGTAGGGACCATAGAAACCTTTGAAACGAAAGGAACCATAGAAACTTTAGAAACCTTAGCCGCCTTGGATTTTTTTTTAACCTTAGAAATCATAGAACTATGGAATTCAAGGGTGAAGAATATATGTTTGTTTGTTTTTTTGGTCAGGGGTTGTTTTTGTTCAAATTCCTGGTGCCATTTGCCTTGTATTTGCAACAGTTTGGAACTAGAACCTGTCATTTTGCATGGTATTTGTCACATTTTGGCATATCACCTTCCACTTTGAATGGTATGTGCTACATGTTGCCATGTTTGCCTTCCATTTTGCACGGTATTTGCAACATGTTGGCACTTCAACCTCTCATTTGCATGATGTTTGCTACATGTTGGTACTTCAGACGTTCATGTCATGTGGGTTCCTTTAGGGTTTCTTTGCGGTTTCATTTAAGGTTTCAGTTACGGTTTCTTTAGGGCTTTAGGGTTTCATTAAGGGTTTCTTCAGTGTGTTGTTCAGGTTTTTTTTAGGATGTCATTGGAAACCATAGAAACCTTAGGGGGGCGTTCCAAACTGACTAGATTCATCGCGTTCCAGATTAACCAAACGCGCGCGCTCTGGTTGTAATCTCTACTAAGTATCACCAATGATATTCCCGTTATACCCCCTCTCTGTCCCATTGTTTCACTATTTTCTTTGGCCGAAAAATACAATTTGACCGTGGCACTAATATAAACAAGCAACCAAGAAAAAACAATGTTTTGTCAGAAAATCGCATCCCTCTAGGTTGCACCGTTTTAGGTTCCTATTCCGATTGGTTCGCTTCCCTATGCTTCCCACATCTTCTCACCTTGGAACTTCCAACACTTTAGATCGTCTAATAGCTTTCGAAATATTCCGACATGGCATCTGATGTGCCAGTTAGTTTTTGTTCCACCCAGCTGGTGGCAAGCTGGGTGGCAATACATTCCTTGCACAACAAAGCAGCTGGAAACACCTCTGAGTCATGTGGTTTCAACATGTTTCGAGCTCAGTTGCAATCCTGTTTGGGTGTAACTTGACACCAGAATAGATGGGGAAAAGCAATCAATGAACCAACATGGCTTCAGCAATGTCAACCCTGCATCAATAAATCCTGGTTGATTAGCTGGGGCGGGAGAACAATATATATATATATATTATATTATATTATATTATATTATACCATATCATATTATATTATATCATATCATATGATATTATATTATATTATATCATATCATATGATATTATATTATATTATATCATATCATATGATATTATATTATATTATATTATATTATATATATATGCAAACAATACAATACAATATATATTAATTTAACATAATATAAGACAATATAGCAAATAAAATAATATAATATTATATAATTTATATATATATATATATAATTTATAATAATAAAGAATATATTGTATATAATATATATATATCATGTTAGTAAAGAAATAGTAAATCACCCCGGAATATACCATACATGGGTGGTTTTTCAGCATGTAGAAACCATCAATTTATATGGGTGGTTTAAAAAACCTACAGTAGTGACAACTTGCTACTTAAATGGTACCTCCCAAGCTACCCACAGCAGTGTCATCCAACATGACTGGCTGGGAAAACCGCCAAAAAACTACTGGTTGGTGGTTGACCAATCCCTCTGAAAAAAATGAGTTCGTCAATGGGAAGGATGACATCCCATAAATGAAATGGAAAATATTGGAAAATAAAATTCATGCTTGAAACCACCACCCAGACTAGAACTGGGCATGTAAATATTAAATGCGATATCCATTGTCATCTCCCGATTGACTTTTGATTGCTGGACTGCACCACATTTGCAAACAATAGATAGCCAGAGACAAAGGGTTGGCAAACTCCGCTGCCCCTTGAAAAATTGCTGAAGAAAAAGCAGCCTTTTATAAAGATTCATAAAGCAGAAAACCCATCTGTGAAGTCGTATGGATATGTCTGCGCAACCTTGGGTCCACACATCGACGTTCCACTACAATTCACTCCTCGGGAAGGAACATTGTTGGTGGAAGCGTGATCTAAGTTCATTTTGAACTTTCACGACCGTGCCAGCTCAAAATCCCGTGCCGCATGCATTCTGGATTAATCTCTTGGTGGAAATTGGCAAAATGTCAGTGAAACAGCGTGTTCTCCCAAATTTTGGTTGCTGATCATTCAATTAGACGGTGTCCTCCTTGTAAAATAGTGGTGGCCTCCCCCCAGAAAAACACACCGAGCCCAACATTTTCGCTGGGAATGCTATATGGCTCGTTCGTTTGTTTTTGTTTGGCGGTACGAGTAGCATCTGATAAAATTCTGCTCAAACAGCAGTGTTCATTGTTCATGCAACATCAAGATTGTTACTTTTTTCTTTTATGTCGTTTCCTGGCAAGTATTGTTTTCAGTTCCTCTTTTATGTTTTTTTCCCCTAAATCTTATCATTACTTTTTCAGAACATGTAGCTTTCTCGTTCCTTTGCTTTCTTCTGTTTGTCATGTAAAGCGTACCAAATGTCTTAAACAACGGTTCCTCTGGTACATGATCTATAGCATCTCATCCCCTGGAAAATAAGGAACCCCAAATAATGAACACTCTCTTACACCAACTCCACTAGACATGTTGCTCAACAACTGCTGTGCTGAATCAAACAATATATAGCTAATCCCATATCTTGAACGAAAATTCATCATGTTTGTTTCCAAGCACCAATCCATCAAATGCCAGGCAATACTTTATCCACTAAGCGCAACCCCTTCGAAACCGTTTCGACCTTTTTGACTTTGAGGTGGGGATTGCTAATCTGCTGTGTTGCCATGATTAAAACCCACCACATACTCCACGAAAAAGGCTGAACAAATATGGCCTGCAAATACATTGGTCTTGGTTGTGCCGGTTGTGCAAAATCGACGTTTCCTTAAATCAGTTGATGTTATTTTTCAAAATTCAACCCACAATTTCCGCTATACCATGGCATGCACATGATTCCAGGTTTATCTCCATTTTCAGATCCACAAATGAATATATATATATATATATTATAGATGGGAGGAAAATCTATAATTACTCTAAATGGTGAAATTTCCAGCAAACGCCGGTTAATTGCCAAAGGGTTGGTGCGAGTACAAGTTGGTCACCTGTTGCCACAGGTTTGCCCTGCCACTTTGTCGCCACAACACGTCAAGTTCCAGGGATTTGTGAGTGATGTTCTTCCTTAAATCACCCCACGCAAGCAACAATTGTTTATGTTATGACCCCAATCAAATAATTTTGAACGGATGTAGTTATTGACAACATGCATTTGGTCAAAAAGCATCCACTTTTTGAAATTTGGACAAATTTCTTCAAAATGGACAACACGGGGACTGGACCTGGAAAAACAATGCAAAAACAAAACGGATCCTCTAGTTTTGCCTCAAAAGCCTTTTGTTCCAAGGCCAAAACAATGAGGCATAATGAGGCATGTATCTCTTGCATGGCAAGCCATGAAACGCCATGAAACCTTTGGACTGGTAGGGTAGAAATGGGAAGGCCAAATGTGGCGAGCACCTCTAACAAAGGGAACGGACCCCAAGAATATAAAGGCACCGAGGCACCAATCACCTTAAAGTCCTGGACTCAAACCAAGGAAATTTAAGTGATTTGGGGAGTTCCGGCCATTTCCCGCGTTTTTTTCCGCACCATTTCAATTGCTATTTTATATACCCCATAGGATCCATGGTGCTGCTATATATGGGAACATTTACCATCAATATACCCCAAATGTTAGCATATATACCAGCACCATGGATCCTATGGGTACTGGATCATTTGCAGATTTCCGAATTGACTGTTGAATAAAAAAGCCGCGCATGCGCGCAAGTCCGGCGAGTTGTGAAGTAATCACCCGACTCAAGAGTCGCAGAGATCCGGGGCTGGCATTCACTTTGGGTTTCCGAGGATTTGCTGACAGGCAATCACAGGTTCCCATCCGAAGCCTGGGACATCCAAGTGCCAAGCGCCCAAATGCCATACATCCCCTCACCATAAATTGGTGTCAAATCATCCCCAAATGCTAGGTGTTTTTGGCCTTGTGTTTACCAGAATAGATTCCGTTCTTATTATTGTGGGTTGTCTTCATCATAGCCCTTGAGCATCCTCATGACATTCCAATGTCGGTAAATCATATTATCCCAGTATATCCAATTGTTTGATCCATTCTTCTTGGCCATTGGCCAAATAATGAACGTGGTGACAATACCAACAAACCAACATAGATATGGACATGGAAGATCCACCAAACATGTAGGTCATGTGTGGACGGGAACAGCAACGGATTTCCATAGCCATGCAATTGGTTTCATCATGTCTTATAACCTCATGATATTCCACAATTTCACCGTTCATATGGGTAATTTCCTGATGTTTGATGGTTTATTCCTGCGAAAAATCAGTATTCCATATCTTTACTTACACTTTTATACAACATAAATCCCAATCATGGTTTGTTTTCTAGCATTCCGTTTGTGGCTTTCTTGTCACCCTTTCTTGTCACTGTTGGGCATCAGTATCATCGCTAGTACAGACCTGTGATTGGCAAATCAGTGATGGAGGCCTCGCTCATTAAAGATTCATTCATGCGACAAACAAATTCTCGCGCATGCTCCACGGCCTGGTTTTTTCGGCGTGACGGCGAAACCGTGGAGTCACGGCCATGGGCCAAAAGGCCATGGGCCAAAAGGCCATGGGGATATAAAAAGGGGGTACAATTGAAATACGTTCCCTTGATCCAAATTTCTATTCACCTAATATGTATATATATATAATTATATATATATATATAAAATTATATATATATATGTGTGTGTGCGCGTATGTTACGCGGAAAAAAACTATTAGGGTGATTCCAAAAAACTGAAATGTATAAGAGAATGCGGTTGAGTTACCATGGTCTTCACATGGTTTTACTCCCAGAATGATGGGGTTAAACATAGTTCAACCCTGCGACTTCTCCCTTGAACAAAGTCTAGGAAAAATAGTTTCCGGGGGCATGGTGGGTTACCCTCTGGTAAACTCGCATAGATGTGTAACATCCTTCAATCCCCTATATTATATTTTCCTAGGGTTTCCCATAACTTTTGCACACCTATGTTGGTTGACACTGGGGTGACTGGTATGGCAACTGGGTTCTCAGGTTGGTGAATGGACTATATCATCTCCTATTGCTGTGGGAAGAATGGAACAGAATGGTGTGGCACATCGTGGCACCTAAATTTGTTGATATGGTTTGACAAAATGTTTTTGACTGTGTATATAGGGGATATATTCACAGGAAAAACAGTCGACATAATTATATATATACATATTAACAAAACCATCATGGATGAAAGACGTGAACCTATCTGCAATAGGCAAATAAATTAGACGGTTGTTCTAAACTTCTTTCATAGGCAAAACGCCAATCTTCGCGGATCAACAGCTACTTTCGCGAAACTTCCGCGAATTCACATTTCTTCGCGGAGTTACTGATATCCACCTTTGAGCCTTGTGCTGATGAGAAGCACTCAAACTGCGTGAATCAACGGTGAAATCTGCGTGAATTCGGGAGGCCAAGGGAAGATGCCAGGCCAAGGGGACTGTGTAGGCTATGGCGGCTATCGCGGCTACGGCGGCTATGGGTTTCCATGGGCACTCATTTCGCAACTGCTGCGGAACTTGCGCAACATGTTCGCAGAAATTCCGCTGCAAATCAACCAAAATATTGCAGCCAAGCAAAATTTGATTACAAATTAGTACGCGGGTCTATTCAAGTCTACTCTAGCCCAGCCATTCACAATTCGATAGGCGATCATTTGACGTAAAACAACAATATGGTAAACCCCTCATGAAAGTAAACTCCGCTAAATCTGCCGCACCAAATTCAGAAAGAAACCCTTCGCAGGGTCTCATGTTGTAACACTGGCAGTGACAAACAATCCCTGCATGAAACTTAAAATCGAGTCCCGTATGTATTTATACATATATATGTGTGTGTGTATGTATATCTGGAGCCTCCCTGCACCTTAACTATATGTTTTTTTCTCTTTGGCCCTCATAGTTTTGACCTTCTTGAAAAAGGCGCAGGGAGATTCCAGCTGCGCTATAATAATTTTCTCTTGGCTCTTGACCTTGCTCAATGGATGCAATCATGTCAATTGATGCAATCATGACAATCATGCTCACAGGTGTGTTGAAAAGAAGACTAAAGAAGAGTCCTGGGAACTAAAAACTATCACCACCTTTCGAACCATCTGAACTGATTATTAAGGGGCCACCACTCTTCTAAGGACCCTCAACATCCGAAAATAGCTGAAAAAGTTTGAAAAAGGATTGGTTTCATGAGGGCAGCCACAAAATACTTCAAATACATCCTTTTGATGAAAAAAGGCGCGGCACCAACAAGTGCCTGGACGCGTCCGTGTTGAACGCAGCAAGACGTTTTTTGGATGCAAAACGGTGTTTTTGGACGCGTGTGCGCTCCCTTCAATCTACAACCCCTCAAGAGAATCCTCATCATTGAAAATCCGAAAAATGCCAATTACACTGGCAAAAGGCCCCAAACAGTGCGGGTGGTAGGAAGCCAGCATTGATCTTCAATAGATTTCAATAGTATGTTTGTTGTGGTGGTCCTCTATTGTGTCAATTTGTTTTAAATGTTTTCTTTTCCAAATTCCTTGTCTCCTTTCCTTTTCCTTTCCTTTAGTTGTCCTATCTTACCTTTTTATCTCCATTCTATTGGATTGCTCAAAATGTTTAATGTCCCAAAATATAGGAGGTCTTATTAAAGCACGATTTAAAAAACAGCACCCAAACATTTTTTCAAGGGGGTAGCCCATGAGCAACCTGATCTTTGCTATAGTTTTTGTCTCTTCCTGGCATCCTCCCTTGATTTCTATGTTATTCCTATGTGATTTCTAAACAGTTCTATGGAATTTCGATGATATTCTATGGTGTTTTGAAAGGTGTGTCTATGGTAGCTCTATGGGATTCCTATGGGGTTTCAAAAGGAAATCTATGGGATTT